TCTCGCCAAGAAAATAGTTTCGAGAAAAGAAAGGAGTCAAAGTCTAAAAGAGCATATATTGTATGGGATGATAATAAAGTAAGTTTGTCATCTGATTCAGAAAGCGAAGAATGTGTAAATCTTGCATTGATGGTATCACACCATTCTGGTGATAAATATGAAGAGGTTAGTGATGAATTCTCTCATTTTGATAATGATGTTCAAAGTGTTATTGATGAACTTCTCGGTGAATGTAAGATTTTATATAAAATCGTGTCAACCCAAAAGAAACAAATTATGTTTTTGGAAGAAAATATTGACACCATGGAAAATAATTTTGAAATTGAAAAACAAAGTTTTCTTGAAAAATAAAAATAAAATCTTACATGCAAAGAGTGTGAATCACTTCCCTTCCAAATTACTCAATTAAAAAGAGTTATTGAGAGATATGAAAAAGGACAAGTTGGATTGGACAATGTCCTTAGTCAACAAAGGTACTCAAATGATAAAAGTGGTTTTGGTTATTCTAAATCTAACAAACCAAGTACTAGTAAAACTATCTTTGTTAAGGCAAGTGACCAACCCAGTAAGGAAAAAGTGAATAAAGCATAAAAGATTCATCATCGCACTAAGAAGAGATTTCCTAAAAAGAAATCTCATGTTCCTAGATATATAAGTAATTTTGTTCCTACGTATTTTTATTGTGGTATATGTAGCCATACACCTAATGCTTAATATGTAAGAAACTTTAGTGTAGCAAGTGGACATTATGTGTAGGTTAAGAAAGGAACTAATTATGAAGGATACAAAGCACATTGGGTACCTAAACAAACCTAATTTGTTTTTTAGGAATGCTTGAAGACCACTAAAAATCTATGGTATCTCGATAGCGGTTGTTCTAAGCATATGATGGGAGAGGTAAGAACATTTTCAAATCTAGTGCTTAAGGCCAAGGGTTTTGTCACTTATGGAGACAATAATGAGGGAAGAATTCTTGGCATTGGCAAAGTTGGTGCAACACCTTTTACATCCATTAAAGATGTACTTTATGTTGAAGGACTAAAGCATAATCTTCTAAGCATAAGACAATTTTGTGACAAAGACTTCAAGATCAAGTTCACAAAAGATGAATGCTTAATTAAAGATGAAGTTTCCAATGAGGTAAAACTCTTAGGTAAAATAATTAACAATATTTTTATGATATCTTTAGATGACTTATCTTTGAAAGTAAAATGTCTCATGGTAAACAATAATGAATCATGACTTTGGCATAATAGAGCATCCCATACTCATATGGAACATTTAAATAAATTAGCCAAACATGATATTGTCATTGGTTTACCAAAGATAAAGTTTGTCATACATAAATTATGTGATGCTTGTCAAAAGGGAAAACAAACTAAATCAACTTTCAAGTCAAAGAATGTGGTATCAACAACAATACCAATTTAATTGTTGCATATGGACTTATTTGGTTCATCAAGAACAAGAAGCTTTGGAGATAATGTATATGCCTTAGTTATTACTGATGACTTTTCTAGATATCCTTGGACTTTGTTCCTTGTGTATAAAAGTGATACTTTCAAGGGTTTTAAGAAGTATGCAAAGCAAATTCAAAATGAAAAGTCATTAAAGATTGTATCAATTAGAAGTGACCATGGTGGAGAATTCAAAAATGCATCTTTTGAAGAATTTTGTGAAGAACATGTATCTCTCGTAATTTTTCAGCACCAAGGACTCCATAACAAAATGGAGTAGTTAAGAGAAAGAATATATTTCTAGTGGAACTTGCAAGAACAATACTTAGTGACTCAAACCTTCCAAAGTAATTTTGGGCGGATGGGGTTAGTATGGCATGTTATGTTGGAAATCAAGTTATTATTAGACCTATCTTGAAAAAGACTCCATATGAACTCTTCAAAAGAAAAACTCCAAACATTGCTCGCTTTCACATCTTTGGATGCAAGTATTTTATCCTCAACAATGACAAAGACAATATCGATAAGTTTGACGAGAAATCTGGCGAAGGTATATTTCTTGGTTATTCCCTCTCTAGTAAAGCTTATAGAATTTATAACAAAAGAACTTTAAATATTGAAGAATTTATGCACGTTTCTTTTGATGAAACTAACACCTCTAAGGAGGACATAGTTGTTTGTGATGATGATGATGATATTATAGAATTGCCCACGGAAGAAGCTATTATCAATCAAAGTGTGAAACAACCGGAACACCAACAAGAAGTTTCACAACAAGACAAATCATAATGATCTTCCTCAAGAATGGGGAACCCATCGCGATCATCCAATTGACAAAGTAATCGATGACATAATCAAAGGAATTTAAACAAGACTAAATCTCAAGGATGCTTGCTTTAACATGAAATTTATTTCTCAAGTAGAAACCTACAATATTGATGAAGCCTTAGGAGACGATCAATGGATTATTGTTATGCAAGAGGAATTAAATCAATTTGAAAGAAATCAAGTTTGGGAACTTGTTCCTAAGCAAGTGATAAACACATCATAGGTACCAAATGGATGTTCAAAAACAAACTTGGTGAGAATGGTATAATTGTTCAAAACAAATCAAGATTGTTGGCTCAAGGTTATAATCAAGAAGAAGGAATCGACTTTGAAGAAACATTCGCTCCAGTTGCAAGGTTAAAAGCTATTTGTTTATTACTTGCTTATGCATGTTCACTAAATTTTGAGCTTTTCCAAATGAACGTCAAGAGAGCCTTCTTGAATGGTTACATCAATGAGGAAGTCTATGTCAAACAACCTTCAAGTTTTGAAGACTTCAAGAATCCTTCACATGTCTTTAAGTTGAAAAAAGCTCTTTATGGCTTAAAGTAAACACCAAGAGCATGGTATGATAGACTTAGCAAATTTCTATGTGAAAAAAGGTTTTGTAAAAGGTAAAGTTGATAAGACCTTGTTTATTAAGAAAATTAAAGGTAATACTTTATTGGTTCAAGTATACATTGACGACATCATATTTGGTTCAATGAACAAAGATCTACGTGAATAATTTTCATCAATGATGCAAGGAGAATTCTAGATGTCTATGATGGGTAAGATGAACTATTTTCTTGGACTACAAATTAAGAAATTAAAGTATGGCATCTTCATCAATCAATCCAAGTGTTGCAAAGAATTATTGAAAAGATTTGATATAGAAAATTGCAAAACAATGGCTACTCATATGGGATCTGGTACATATGTAAATCAAGATGAATTTGGTGTTTCGATTGATATTACAATATATCGATGTATGATTGGTTCATTGTTATATTTGATGGCAAGTCATCCTGACATTATGTTTAGTGTTTGTCTTTGTGCTTGCTTTCAAGCAAATCCAAATGAATCTCATTTCATTATGATAAAAAGGATCATGAAGTGTCTCAAAGGAACAATGAATCTCAGCCTATGGTATCCAAAAGGTGGTATATATGATTTAGTTGGTTATTCTAACTCGGGTTATGTAGGTTGCAAAACTTCACAAAAGCACGAGTGGTGCATTTCACATACTAGGGAATGCTTTAGTATCATGGTCTTGCAAGAAACAAGCATGTGCCGCTCTTAGCATGGCTGAAGTAGAATATATTGCAGCATGAAGTTGTTGCGCTCAAATCCTTTAGCTTAAACAACACAAGTGAGATTAATATTACAAAAAATTTGGTCATGCACTCAAGAATCAAACATATTGATATCGAGCATCATTTTCTTCGTGATCATGTGCTTCAAGGAGATGTCAAAGTTACATTTGTGGATTTTCTCCACGAGAATTGGGAATTTTGGATGAAAAAGACGTATGATAAACAGTACACATATTTATTCATGTTTTTATTTTTCATAAATTCATGTGTAAAAATCTTATATAATATGTTTTTCCTCAATTTATATGCATATATGATGCCTAAACATGTTATCTACATAATCTATGACTTTTTATATGATGAAAATTGCCTAATTTTGCATGCCATAGCTAATGTTTTTTGTATTTGGCAAATATTTCATGCCGCAATCGATTACATGTATTTAGGTAATCGATCACCAAGGCGGATTTTTCAATTTTTGGGCTTTTTCATAGTTTCGCAGGCCCGTAATCAATTACAGCCCATCCTATAAGCGATTACCAGTTCGAAATTTGGTTTTTTCAGCTTTTTCATTTAAGTTGTGTTTGAATGGTTTATTTGTTGGTCAACATACATTTCCTCCTTCTCACTCTTCCACCTACTCTTCTTGGTAATCATCATCGTTCAACCCTATCCTTTACTACCCACTCATACTTTTCCACTTACCAACATCATCTCATTAAAATACCACTCTCATAAACCCATTATATAATAACTTTCTCACCTTCAAACCAAATAAGCACTTATTTACACCAGCAAGCCCAAATCCAAAAATCTCTCAAACCCTAACACCTCCAAACTCTCAAAAAGCCCTTTCCATGGCTCCACCAAGGAATGCAAATGGAAAAGCAAAGACGGGTGAAGGTTCTACAGCTCATGATTTTGACTCAGACCTTATTCCTCAAGAGCCATCTATGAAGCAACGCAGACTACTGGGAAATTTCCGACTGCGTCTAGTGATTCTTCCAAATCATGGTAAATTAGAATCATTTCCCTCTTCTAGCTTCAGTTTTCCAGCTTTGCTCGAATACCAAGATATCAATGGTTTTGTCTCTGAATCTAGACATTTCTATCTGAACTAAGTTAGAGATTTCTATTCTCATTTGTCTATTTAACCTGGTTGTGCCTTTCATACAAAAGTTAAAGGTATTGATATTAGAATGACTTTAGCAGAACTTGGTAATTGTTTGGAATTTCCTTGTGAAGGCGAACAGATCATGCATGGCTATACCCTTACTACTCCAGCATGGGTAGATTATAGTAAGCTTGATTTTACTTTAGCATCAGCCGCATTTCCCAATAGGATTTTTATGCTCAGCGTGCTCACTCATCATCCACAAGGTTGATTCTACCTAGTAAAAACCTTTTCATTAGTGATCGTATGTTTCACTACTTTATTGCCTATGTACTTGTTTCGAAAAGCAACAATTATTCTCAAATTGGTGACACTAAAATGAAGCTTCTGTTTGAAATCAAGAACAAAGTGAAGATTAATCGGGCCTATGTGATTATGCGACATATGGAATACTCAAAGGATTTTTCAAGTTCACTTCCTTATGCTCGTGTCATTTCTCGAATTTTGGTGTCATGTGGTGTGGAATTGCATCGTGAACCTTACAAGAAGATGGGCATTTTCATGGATGTGGATGGACTCTTCAAGCATAAGAATGATGCAAATGTCTATGCATCATCTCCCGCTCCCTCGGGTGGATATACGCTTGAACTTATCTACAAAAATATGTGTGAAATGGACATTCGCCACTCCTTTGAGCTTCGTGAACTTCGTTCTGATGTGAACTTTCTATAGAGCCGTTACCGTCATCAAAAAGAGACTGGTGAGGATGATGATGGGGATGGTGAAGAAGAGGGAGAAGAAGATGAAGAGGAAAATGAAGACATGAATAAAAGTGAATGAAAGTGTTTCTTAGTCTCTTTGTTTTACTATTTATGATGGTTTAAATTTTATTTTCTATGGTTCATGTTATGTTTTTGTTCTAAGACAATATGTTTTTCTTTGTATGTTCATGTTAAGTTATTTGCTCTAAGAAAATGTGTTGTTTGTTGTTATGACTATGTATTGTGTTTAGATAATTGTGTTGTGTTTGTTCTTAATAATTCTATTTTTTCCAAAGCCTTTCCCATCCTTTTTGTTAATGACAAAGGGGGAGAAGTTGTTGTTGTGTGGTGTGCTTCTCTCTAACATTTTTGCAGCAAGTCATAATTGTCAAAAATGTTCACTCATGGACCAAGGGAAAGCATTGGTCTAGGGTGAGTTATCATTGTTAGGGGGAGCATAGTCCATCAAGATTTCAAGTGTTTGACATCATCAAAAAGGGGGAGAATTTAAAGTCAAGACTATCCATCCATTGTGTTTTGATGAAGACAAAGTTATAATCATATGATCATGTCAAAAGTATGGAAAAAGGTTGGCAAAAACATCAAGGTTGAAGTATAGCATCAAGTGTTCGAGACATAATCTCCTTGAAGACTAGATTTGTTATTTTGATTGATCTTCACATAATTGAGGTACAAACATGCAAGTTATTTTGATATATTAATGCTCAAAAATACCTCATCATATCCACTAGCATTAATAACATTTTAATTGAGAATTTAAATCTTTTTAATGCTTCTGCCAAAAACATTTTTTCCTGGTTCAGTATGCGTAATCAACTACCACAATATATGTAATTGATTACCGCTTCTTTTTGCGCATCTGGAAGTTCATTTTTTGTCTTGTTAATCGATTACCATATATCTGTAATCGATTACTGCTTTTATTTTTCTATTTCAAACGTTGTGTCGCTTCAGAATAACCGATTACAACCATTTTGGTAATCAATTATGGCTGAAGCAGTAGCCTATTTTGATAGTAGTATTGGACAGAACGTTTTCATCTTAACACCTTTTGAACTTTGCATCTTTCCATTGTTTCATACACTTTAATAAGGTTATTAAGGAATTATAAATAGTCTTATTCCCATAATTCAAATATCACCTTTTCCATTGCAATTTGAAATCATATCTCACTCATTTTCAAACAAGTGTTTTGAAACTTTAATTTTCATTGAGAATTTTTTGCATTTGTTTTACATATCATTTCAAAAAAATTACTCCCTCATTCATAAACGCTTGAGCATTAATATATCTTTGAGAATTGCTTGTTTGGAAGAGAAGATCAATCCTAGTGATTGATATATATTCATCTACTTTTCTTACTTAAATATTTTCTAGACTTGGTTGTAAATACCTTTTTTCCAGGATTGTTGGAAGCAAGAGAGTTGAGTTTGAGAGGATTGTTCTCATTTCAACTTGGTTGATCACAAGAGGATTGTTATTGTTGATTGTGTTGGTCTTGTACAAGTCCTAACAATAGTGAAATCTCTTTCATGTTGAAAGGAGACTGGAGTACCTTTGGATTGTGAGGGAAACCAGTATACATCCTCGTATTCTTTATTTTTCTACATTTTATTGCTTTTATAACATCACCATAAACCAGAAAAATAATTCCTTCATCACTCAAAACCAGTAAAATTTTAAAGGGCCTAATTCACCTTCCCCCTCTTAGACGCACTCATTACTTACACATTCCTACATTGTTAGTGAGTATGTACTACTCACTCCATACGAGGCATGGAAAGAAGGGAGGAACGCTCTTATGTGGTGTTACTTTGTTATACTCTTGGTCCATGTCTCATATGCCTAAGAAGGGTCCTTTTGTTAAAAATCAAGATGATCTCAATTGGCCTTAAAGGATAGTATCTCTCACCGAAAATGATATTGCTTGGTATTCACGTGGGTATGATCGTATTGAGATAATCTTCAGCTACCGAGACTTTCTAAATGTTCCACTTATGGGATTCCAAGGTATTATCAATTGAAAACTTATTCTAGCTTTAAGACATCTTTGTTATCCCGTGTTGGACAAACCTGAAGACAAGTTTGAAGAGTTTTTTCTTGTGTGATACGGGGGCAGAAGACCCAGGCATGCTAAGAAAGTTAGACGATCTTGGAGTAGGATAAACTGAAAGGGGAAAGAGCTTGAAAGGAAAAATTTCGTCACTAAAGAACCTTATCGTTAAAGGGTCGGAGAAAGGGTTCAAGATGTCAAGTTACTTTTTATCATTGAGACCTTAACACAGGCAAAGTCACATGAGTCGATACCCATTTTTGTAGAAGAGCTTGATGAACTGAAGGATACCATTGCAAATCTTGAAAAAGAAAAAGAAGAGTTGCAGTTGAAGATTGATTGAACCTCCCGTGAAAATAGTGAATTAAAATGGAACATTTCTCAAAAAGGGAAATTATTTAATGAGAGCAGAAAAAGGGTAAAAACATAAATGAATAGAAGAGACAAAGTGGTTGATTGCCTAAAGGGAGCTGGTGATGAGCTTGATGCAAATAATGAAGAACGAGTTGGAGCTAGGGTTAGAATCCGCTAGTGGAAAGATATATGGACAAAATCCATGAAATCTCAAAGAAAAACTGAGAGAGTGGCTTAAAGCACGGATTTGAAATCTTAATGAAACACTCAAAGAATATAAGGGACATATATTGAATGAGCGTCGCCAAAAAGAGAAAGTTGTAGAGTCACTCATAAGCTTCCAGGTTGAGTGGATAAAAACACTTGAAGAGCTAAAAGCACTCAAAGAGCATATCCACCGCCAAAAAGAGGCATATGAAGCTTTGAGAAACATGAGTATGCATTGGGAGAGCAAATATAAAGACTTGGTTGATTTTGTGGATGATAAAAAAATCGTAACTGAAGAGCTCCTGCAAGAGGTTATGAAGTTTAAAGATGACTTTTCAAACTTAGCAACATTTGTAAATGTTATCCCCCACCATCGTGAAAATTCTCAAATGCCCCTAGCGTCTGGAGATGCTTCTTTGAACACACCTTTTTCACACACATCTAAATCGAAACCCTTGTTCTAATTTAATTTGGTTCGAAGATGCATCTCTGTATGCATAAAAGGTTGATTCGGAGATGCATCTCCTTAACCACCCCCCTTAGTTCATTAGTTTGTGAGTTTTCTGGAGATACATCTATAGAATATGCTCTATTAGTTTAAATTAGCAACGGGCAAAAACAATGGTAGAATAGAAAACCAACATAAATTAACAACAAAATAAATATTACATAGATAAACATTATATAAATTTAACATTATCTTTCATTACAAATGAGTGGTTTAGGACGTCACAACATCCTTATAATATCTTCAGTTGATCTTTGAATCGTCACATCCACTTCAATCGGACCCTTTATTGAGTAACATTAAAAGAAACTCCATATAACCTTTAAATCATCACCTGTCTTCAGTTCAAACATGGTGATCTGTAACTTCCTTTTGTTTTCAATCGAGGGTGAACGGTACTCGAGCTTGACAACTCTCCAATTTTTTGAATATCATGGAAGAGTATTCAATTAGGATTTCATATCAATGAGAAGTATATCCTTAGAGACCCTAAACTGAAGTGGGGAATTTACGTTATTGAAATACACAAATACAATATGGGGATATGGATTCATTCTTACTTTTGTAAAAAAAAAGGTGGAATGAGAGGCCCTATTTGTAGAAGGCGTAGAGCAATAAGGCTTACAAACCCTATCATATCTTCGAGAAAGACTTCAGAGATACATCTCTGGATCCACCTTTTTTCAAAAAATAAGGGTTTATCAAGAGATACACATCTATATAGTCCCTTATTTTGTTTTTTTTAATATTAGAAGGTGTGTTTGAAGATGCATCTTCGAATTCAGACAAAAATTATGCAAAACAAAACCAATGGATAACACAGAGCATAATTTCAAAACAAAGAAATTGTCCAAAAAATACCATCCAATTTTATAACAGTATGCAGTGTGTTACATACAAAAAAATGTGGTACATTGTTAGATTATAACTAAAATGCTTCAAAGCATATGTCACTGTCTAAATCTATTGGTGGTTCATTCTTCGATCTTTCCTTCTTTATTTCACTTTGAATGTCGCTCAACTTGGTGAAATGTTCTATCCTTTCTAAAAAGTTATTCGGTCAAGTTCCAGCATCTTGCATGAAATCTGTCATCCACTCCAGTGATGTCTTTGATATAGGACATCCAAGATTCAAATAAACCTGAACAAAATGTTCTTTTTTGCATCATTCGCTTTATCTGGTTTAACATCATCATTCACTTCATTCGATTTAACATTCACACTCGCAATAACTTAAAAAACGTATTCATGTACATTATATCCATTACCACCAATAACAGAAAAAAACAGTCTTAAAAATTAAACTAACAGGACAATTCGGATATGCAATTCAGACCACAACAAACTTCATCACGAGATGCATATCTGAATTCAACGTTCATTTTTCAGCTCAAAGACAAGATTAATGCAAGGAATGAGAGATGAAATGAATTATTTTTATCTGCAATTCCAGTTTGTTTTGTTCTCTTTGAAATGATGAAATACAAGAATGATGTTTTGGTGTTGAAAAGTTGATTGAGAATGAGAGAAAATTGTTAAGGGTTTTGCAATGGAGTGTGTTTTTAGCATAAAGAAGAAGATCATACAAGGTGGTGTTTTATCAAATTTCCTGCTGAGCATTTCCATATATGCATCTCCGAAAATATCACTAACTTGTTATTTTAAATCAGTTGCGTGAATAACAAAATTCCATAAATGAGTGCAAGGGGTAATTCAGAAATTCATCTCTAGATACACTCAAACAGTATACAGAGATGCATCTTTGAACCATATTTTTTTAAAACCTGGGATGAAACTCAGAAAAGAGAAAATTTGTGTGATTTTGGGTGCGTCCGAAGCATTTTTTTTGTTTTCAAGAGTGTGGAAGTAGAGCTGTCAAATGGGCCAGCCTAGCCAGCCCGCTTCGGCTCGAAGGGCTAAAATATATAAAGAGGCTAAAGTGGGTCGGCCCGATTACTTCGTGGGCTGTCAAAAATGAGTTTGTCCCATTTCTAATAGACCCAGTGGCACAATGGATCAATTAGTTTGTTATTTCAATATTATAATTTTAAATTTATAAAAATGGTGTAATTGATAAAAGGTTATTTTTTATCCTCTCCTTTCTCTCTATCTCTCTCTCTTAATCTCACTCTTTCTCTTCATTATAAAATTATTTTTGAGAGAGAGTTTGAGATTAAGAAAGAGATAGAGAGGAAGGAGAGGAATGGAGAGAAAAAATGGAAGGAGAGAATCCAAGTCCTTAAAAACTACACAACATAAGTAGAGAGTAATCATAAACTTAGTTAAGTTATATTTAAAATATTCATCAAACCAACATCCATATATATATAATACCACCAAGATATTTATGTAAAAGTAGAGGAATCGAATATTTTCTGTAATACTTATCAAACTTTATTTTCATCTCATAACCATTTCTTTAATGTCATCATCTTGAAAACACATCTTCATTATTTTTAACTTAAAACACCCTTATACAATTATATCTTAACTCAATATTTTTTCTCCAAAATAAATTAAAATTATTTTATATATTTTTGGGTATCCTATATTTTTAATGGGCTAGCTTGGAGTCCACTAGGCCGGTCCATGAAAAACATAGACCACTTGGGCCAAAAAAATAGAATTGTTTTTGAGAATTTTTTAATGCACTCTATAATTTTCTAGCGTATCGCGTAAATTTTTGAAAATGCCTCTAAATTTTGGAAATGCATTTCTGAGACGCACTTCATCCACGTATAATTCTTTTATTTTTGAAGTACACCCCATATTACGACTAACTTTATTTCAAAAATTAACTTCCGATTGTTCCTAGAAATGCACTTCTAGTACCTATTGTTACTCACGTAATATATTTATAATAGCATACTAATGCATGTGCTATATTCTCACACTTTGGAAAACAATGAATGATTTCTGTAGAACGGCGAGAATAAAGATATTTAATTCTCATAATCTGAAAAATATGACTACAAGAAATTAAATAAAGGATATAGAATCATGGCTACACTCAACCCTGCAACTAATTAAAATGGAGATACTGTAACGTAGCAACCAAATATCTCTTATTCCAAGAACCAAATAATCCTAAATAAAAACAAAATGGGCCATATTCGCAGAAATCTTAATAAAACCAGTTGGTTGTTGTTGTGGTGGCCGGTTCAAGTTGATTTAAGTAATATAAATTTTCTCTTTTTCATCTTTCTTCTAATTTAGTTCTATAATTAACCATGAATATAGAATGGTCATATTTTAGAAAATCTGCATTCAAGTCTCTTTTCTTTGTGATGATACTATATAACGTACTCAGTAAACTTCAACCTAAAAAAGGCATATGTCTTCGGAGTTCTGCTTCCAGTCATCTAATTCATAACCATAGAAAAATACTTTTAACTGTAAAATGAACGTGTTGGACCAAACAACCAAACAAATTTGCCGCTTAGATGGATGGCTTATTACGTATTAGGATTAAAAATAATAATTGAGCATAATTGAGCATGAGTTTACAGACTCAGTGTCCACGTAGGATCGTGTGTATATGTGTGAATGAAATACATTTTCAGAATTAACTGAAGTTTAATAAATAAAAAATGCGTTCTAAAAATACACTTCGAGGAAAAGGATAAAATTGAGTTTTAATATGATTATTTTCACCTGGCATAAAAGTTCCCCTTGTTTTTTATGATTTTCTGTGGCCCAGCCCACAGTAAAATATAGGGCTCATAGATCGGCCCAATAGACCAAGCATGACAGCTCCATGTAAATTCCCTTTCTTTTTTGTTTAAACAAAAAAAATATCTTTTATTTTTAGTTATATGAATTAGCATATATTTATCGTTACGAGAATTCTCTCTGTTTTTAAAACTTGATTAATACTAGTTTGGGACTCAGCCTCAGCCAATAACTTGTAATGTCATGTATCCATGTCATCAAACCATATCCACCTGAGCAAAAAATTCTAATAAGGGAACCGAATAAAAATGTTGTGGAACGAGTTAAATTGAAAGTTTTTTTTACAACTAAAATCAAGGTGAATCTATTTGCATACTTTTTTTTGGATATTTAAGTCAACAACAATAATGAGATTTTTTAATAGAAATTAATTTTTGAACGTGATGTCCATTGGTCAAAGTCAACTCCCCCCATATCACCCTCTTTCAAGAATAAACTATTATGCCCAATAAAATGAAACGGGCAAAACTAAAGTAGTAGATATGATTAGAAAGTTGAACTCTTTTTACACTTTATCAAAACATAAGAGACAATTACACATCTTCAGTTCTAATCTAGGTTAGTCAAGCAAAAAGGTATACCTTGATTTTCCAAGTCCTACTACGCCACTCCAAGATGTCCCAGACAAAGAAACTGACCCATTTCTTCATGGATCAATGTAAAAATTTCATGTTAGAATGTGAACCATTTTTATACAGCCCAGAGATGTGGATATGCATTCTTTCACCTCTAGAATGAGCTAGAAATATATCGGAAGCTCCGAAACTGTATAATCTAACTTTGTGAAGAGGAATGATTAACAGGCATGCATTCCACAGAAGAGACCTGGACTCTGTTTGGTGCATTTTGTATCACAATAGGTACAACACCATTCTCAGCATTTTGCAAAGCATTATCTGACTCACCAACAGGCCCTGCAATTTCAGCACGCACTGGGCGAAGAAGTCCCTGTAACCTTAACAGGTAACTTTGACTGGAAGGTTGGCCTCTCACATATCTAGTTGTTGTCACAACACTGGCAGAAGATCGCTCAGAATCTGAACGGAGATTGGACAGGGCACTAAGATCAAGATTTGGGAACACTGAACAACGGCACCGAGGACATTTGACATTCAGCCTGAGCCACTCGTCAATGCATTCAACATGAAAATTGTGTGCACAAGGCAAGCCTCGAACCTGCATTATAGAGTAAAACTATTTTTTAATCACTCTACAATTTACACTACATCTCAACTAAGAGTTCTCGAGGCTATACAGCAAGGTTTTACAGTATCAGATAGGAAACAGCACATAGTATGATCTGCTCTAGACCTTTAACTAGATTTAGAATAAATATACCTCATTCCCAACTCGGAACTCTTCTAAGCAGATGGGGCATTCACTGCAATCAGTAGGAACAGCCTTTAACATGAACTTTGGGAGTTCCTGAATTAATGCTTCAACTGCTTCTCTCTGCAATCAACCCAGACAAGAAACCTTATTATCAGCATTGAAATTGAATAGAAATAAGTGAACACTCGGGAACCTAGTATTGTTGAGTACCTACCAAATCATCCAATTATTCAATGCCATGTCATTTTTTTAATTTAATTATATGGCATAATGATAGGCAACTATTCGTGTAAATACTCAAAAGGAATTTGAACGATAAATATATGGCATAACGATAGCCAACACATTGTCTGAAAACACACAAGAACCATATGAATAATAACAGATTTTATAGAACTCGGAAAATTAAGCTAAACACTATTATTTACTGCAAATCATTAAGCTTAATACTACAATAATGGTGGAAAACAGAAAACATAGGGATAAAACCAGAGGTGTTAAACTCCTAAACCAGAGAAAACTGCTAAATGATTAAGCTTCTGAATGAGTTGATGAAAAGGAAGGATGAAGTGGAAAGAATGAATGAAGGGTTTTAGGAGATGAGGGTTTTTGAAGGTTTGTTTTTCTTCATTGTACAAAAACCCCTTAATTATAAGAAACTCAAAAATTATATTGGAACGGGATTTTGGAGGGCTTGGATAAATTGTTCGAATCCAATCTATCTTGTTACCTGTTACTCATTATAATACTCTAAATAGTAAAATTAAAAAAATGTATTAATAACAAACATTCATTTATCATTTTATTCTATACAATTTTAAAAAAGGTGAAAGATTTATCTATTTTTTTTCTCTACTACCTTCCTTGCCAAACTTCCAAACAGTCTAAAATTATGAAAATATTCTAACTACTTCTATTCTTACAGCTTCTAGAAGCTGTGCTTGTATGAATTGGTCCCAATAATTGGGTCATCAGATGATGGGGATGGGGCTCTATATTCCATCAGAATTCAGACAAAACATTTCAACAACTAATCTACATAACAATACAGTTCACTCTGCTCCACAATACTGTAGTCTGTAGCTTTTCATGAGTTGTAATATGAAATCAACAAGTCTGCAAAGATCAACTAAAACTACCTGAGCTGGTGTTAGGTAAAGTCCTGGATGATAAGAAGCAGCATCTTGGCCCATGCCTCTTGTCTCTTGTCCCGCAGCTTCAAATGCCCAATCAGGCACGCGGATCATATCGACCAAAATCTAACAAAGCAAAAATAACAACTATTAGCATCTAATAGTTGCAGTGTCGATGATCATACAGAAATGAGTATACATTTAGATTACTAAGAATATGATCACAGATTATGCTTCAATGATTTAATCAACCCCATATGTACAATTTTTTAAATAAGAGAAAGCAATAGACTGATTGTGTTACTTCCAGAAAGAATATAACTGTAAGAGCTTCGAAACAACATTTTCTCTGTAACTTTCTGGGAACCTGATTCAACAGTAATTTTTTGTCGAGAGGTGAAAAATAAAGCTTAAGGGAAGGCGTGGAGAAACTTATAACCACAAATGATATACAAGGGACTGTGTCCCGGTAACAGTGTACCCTAGAATCTTGTTATAAAAGAACTAACAGAAAAACCAGCCATAAAACTGACGGTGAAGAAAATAAAAAATCATTTTATAATAAGGAAAATTTACATTAAGCATAATAATTTCTCACTTTAGTAAGCAATTTCCATCAGGACAGTTTTTGCTGGGTACATAGTTGCTAGATAAAAGTTTAATTCCATAAAATGGAATCTATAACATGGTTAACAATATCAAAACATGACTAAAATAAAAACAAAGCAACATAGACTCATCACTCTTACTCTAATAGTAGTATAATAACTCATCAGATAGGGTGGCACCAGCTGATAAGCAAGTGTTAATAACATGTCATCAGATTACAAGTTAATTACAAATGTTACCAGATGATTGACTGCACCAGTTACAGATTCAAAATAGAACTTAAAAAACTGTACTACTCCTTACCCTTTCCTTTATAAGGGAACAACAAGGGCGAACAAAATTCTGAAATAATTTCCATGTTATTACGAAAACTATTTAGAAATACTGATTATAAGAAGATAGTTTCCACAACATGTTTAGCTAAAACTACTAAATATGTTGCAATGAAGGCAAATCTTACCCCATATTCAGACACTGGGATACCCTGTTGGGCACGCACTAAGTGTGCTTGTCGTCGAGTCAACCACTGCAAGGGGTTAAACAAGCCAGAATGATTATTGCAACAACCTAGATATCAAATAGTGAAGAAAATATTGTTTTGCAGATATGTTTATAAGTTGTTCAGAACATGAACACCGCAGCAAATGGAGTTAAAAATGATTGCGACATGCTAACAAGTCAAAGAAACATTTAATGATTAATACAGCTCCACCACTAACCTTTCCCACTGACATGCAAGCAATGCAAAGAAGTCCACAGTAACTAAAAAGTAACCAGATGAGAAATCCCCATTTCTGACCCTCTTCAGGCAACTGCAGATAATTATTTGCATTATGCCTCATAAACTTGTTAACAAGAGTATAACTAAAAGTTAGTTTAAATGAAAAACATACACAGCTCTTGGCAGTGCTGAACCACATGGTACCAACTATAGTCCAAGCCCAAAGAAATGGATAAAGAAGCAATCCAAGGATTGAAAGGACAGCTACTCTTCCACAGAAACGAGCGTATCTTTGTTGCCACCCAAAATCTCTAGAAGCATATGAGAAGGGAAGGAGGAACAATGTGTCGAGGAATGAATTAGCTCAGGGATTTGAGAAATTAAAACATCATTTGACTTGGTTTGTTTGATGCAACACAAAAAATTCAGAACCAATTTAGTTGAGCTTGAGGTTACTATCATCAATTCGAAGTCATCTAGGAAAGCAAAATGATTTTGAAAGTGAATGCTGAACAGCCAAGAGAAATTAAGTGAAATGAATCATAGAAAAATTTTACTTTCCAAAATCCATATGAAACTATCTTTTCAAAAATCAGACCTCCATTTATCTCCACTAACTTGTAGTCCTATTCCCTAGTAATATTTTAACTTTTAACCTTAAGCCATGTCACTTGCCCACCGTTCCCTTGTACTATTTTGGAAGACTCAAAAGCAATTCTAGAGGTGGAGAATTGATTTTGTAATGATTATAACATGGTTGGTTCTTCCAAAGTAGAATTGATTATGCCTCCAAAATTGATTCTACTTGGCTAGAATGTACTGCTTTTGAGTTTAAAAGTGATTTTTACATTGAAATTTACTGTTCAACTCAATTTTCATTAAAGTTATCCAAACATAAATCACTTTGCCTTCAACTAACTTTTAACCAGAATCAATTTTACAAAATCAATTCACTCAAAATCAATTCACTCCACCTATGAACCAAACATACACTAAATGGCCTCGGCGAATATTGCCTATGTTAAAATTATCACACCTAATGCATGTCAACAAAGTAAAATTAGAAATATGAAAGCATACATACAATACAAAATGAAGAAAACAAGTTAAAAACATTAATGAAATAACCAAGAACAACATAAAAAGTTAACAAATGGAAGAACTTACAAACCCATTCCCGCAGCAAAGCCATTATCAACAAACATCAAGAGCCGGAAAACAAACACAGCAGTATAATCCACCTAAAGAACAGTGAGTGAGTGAAATGATGAAGATAAGAAAACCGCAAGGATCTTAAAAAATCATTAATTAATAAATAGAAGTAAATGAACCCACCACAATCCATATGTGCAATGGGTATGTACAAGAATGGTAACGCTTCCAATTAATTGCAACAATAACTCTGCAAGTTCAAGTGTCAAGAAAACACGCCTAATGATAGTAAAATTAAGAGAGAAACAAAGGTGAATTGAAAAAGGATACACGCTGGTGGCGAGCATGGACAAGAAAAATCCATCGTACCTAAAATGAGAGAAAGATGCATTGGATCAAAATTGGGATAAGAGAGAGAAAATAGTGTAGGGAATCAGAATGTATGAGAGAGAACAACACTAACCACTTGAAATCAACGCCTCTGATAGCCATGGGAATCGATTTGAAGGAAACCCTAACGAGTGAAGAGGTGTGGAATAGAAGGATCGCGCTTAAGGAGAAAATGCATTAACGGAATCGGAATTGGATTGTGAATGCATTTAAGGAAATTGAGGTTTAGAAAAGGGGGGGAAAAAGGAGTAAAAAGAAGTAGAGTGTGATAGTGAATGAAGAAACAGTAATGGAAAAAGCGAAAGAGTGACACAACAATACAATTGTGAGAGAGAAGAAAAGAAAAGACAATCCACGGTAGCAGCGCACCGCCAAGACGCGAACGACAGATGAGATGATGGACTTGTGTTTTACTGCATCACTGCGCACTGAGACTGAGGTTACTTTTACGTTTTCCCTTTCGTCTACTTTTGGTATGGATTTTTCAATTTCGATGCGTTCGGTTCGAGTATGACTATTCCATTGTCATTAAATATTTCGTTTTTTTTTTCGGATCTAATCTAACTTTTTTTTGGTAAGAGGATCTAATCTAACCTAATAATAACTCACTTTATCTTTATTTTTTATTGTTTTACCTTTTCTATCACTAAGTAATTACAATAAACTATTTTTTGTTGTATTACACATTGGTGCGGGTAGCTTAATTATCAAATTCTTTTTATATAATAAAATATTTACATAAGTTGGGTCACTCAAAAACAAAAAAAAATCAAACTCACATTATTATTTTCAACTCTTGTCTTTAAAATAAACTTTCATTCACGCATTCAAATATATTTGACCGTTCAATCAACATCGAACGATTAATATCATTGTAACAATATAAATGCGTGAAAACTCAAGTGTACAGGATTCAAATTCTTTTTTTCTAACTTGTGAAAAACACGATAGTTAAAATATGAGGTTTTATATAGAAACATTAATTCATATAAATCATGTATGACAATGATCGAAATGTTGAGATTGTAATTCCTTGTGTCGAAATAGTATGTTGCTCGACAGAACAAGGGTGTGTCGAACATAAATCTATTATATGTCGAGTTGTATGTCGAAGTAGTAGTATGTCAGAGTTGTAGTATGTCGAAGTGTCGAAGCAGTTTGCTTAATACAATATTTCAACTTAGGTCTAAAATAGTTATTTTGGATTTTTTGTATTTGTGGATTTTGGCTTATGGGGCAAATAAGCTCATTATAAATAGAGAGTAACCCCTATATTGTAAACAACTTGTATTCACGTAATTTTGCAGTTGTAAAGTGAATAAGATTTTCCACAATTTATGGGCAGAGAGTTACTCTGCAGAAATCATCATCTTCTTCTCAATCTTGTCAAACCCTAATTTTCTTTCTTCCTCAATTATCTTTCTTTCATTGTTATTGTGTATTAATAAAATCTTGTTCATCAATAATGATAGAAATTCTCCATAGGTTTTGGTGGATTTCCAACATCTGGTATCTAGAGCTCCGGTTAAGTGATTCGATGCAAGAAAATCATGCTGACAATGAATCATCTGGATGGATATTTTCCAGCAAGTCTTCCAATTTTGAAAGTTGATAACTATGAGAATTAATGCGAGCAAATGAATATTGTGTTATGTTGTCAAGATCTTTGGGATCTTGTGAAAGAAGGATTATAACCGCTTAAAGAAAATGCAACAGAAGAAGAAGAGGGTGCACACAAAGAATTGAAGAAGAAGAATTATAAAGTTCTCTTTATAATTCATCAATGTCCGAGTCCCGACAATTTCAAAAAGGTGAGTGATGTAACATCTGCAAAAGAAGCTTGGGAAATTCTGAAAAATTCTTTTGGAGGTACAGAAAAGGTGAAAGAGATGAGGTTATAAACTCACAAAAGAATGTTTGAATTGCTTCATATGAAAGAAAGTGAAAGCATAATTGATTTCTTCACTGAGGTTATGAAACTGGTGAATCAATTTAAAGTGTGTGAAGAAGCGTTGACGTAAAGATCAGTTGTCGCAAATATCTTAAGGTAATTGGCTCCAAAGTTTGAGCACGTGGTGGTAGTCATAGAATAGTCGAAAGATTTGTTGAAATTGACAAAGGAAGAGCTTCAAGGGACGCTTGAATCCCGTGAACAAATAATGACTGAAAGAGTTGCAGGCAAGTTGAAGAGTAATGTGGCTTTGCAGGCGCAATCAGGAAAAGAAAAGAAATGCAAAAGAAAGTGGTTCGACAACAGAGGTGGAGGAAGCTACAAGAACTTGACTGGTAGAGTAAACTAGTAAGAAGGAATTGTGTTGAATAATAGAAAACCTCATACCAAGGCAACCAAATAGGTGGTGTTACAGGTAAAGGAAAAGGTGATGGTCAAAAATCTGACAAAAGTCACATTTAGTGTTTCAATTGCCATAAGTATGGTCACTATTCTAGTGATTGTCCTAAAAAACAGAAGAATCAAGATAATGATGCAAAGTTTGCAAAGCATGAAGAAGAAGATATGATGATGATGGTCACAACAAAAGATGAAGAGAGATTCAAGGACCAATGGCACTTGGACTCAGGATGCTCATCACAAATGTTTGGGTGTAAAGATTGGTTTGTCAACATAAAACCCTTAACAAAGAAGATGGTGAAATTCACAAATGACAATACTCTAGCAGCTGAAGGTATTGGAGACGTTTTGATTATGAGTAAATATGGCAAGAGGTCAGTAATTTTCAATGTGTTATACATACCAAACATGAAGACCAATTTGCTCAGTATATGGTAGTTGGTCAAAAAGAACTACAAGGTGTCCATCAAGTACAAGACGATGAGAGTTGTCGATGCAAGACAAATATTAATCTTGAAGGCTCTTATGTCTCAGAATAGAACCTTCAAGATCAAACTAAATGTGATTAAGCACAAGTGTCTTGCAACTGCAGCTAGCAGAGATGAATGGATATGGCACTATCGACTTGGTCATCTCAACTTCAAAGACATCAGAGATTTGAAAAGAATAAATATGGTTTCAGGATTGCCATAAATCAACACTCCAAATGGGGTGTGTGAGGAACATGTGCAAGCGAAGCAGTAAAAGAATAAATTCGGCAAGAATGCAGGAAGCAAGTCAAATGTTATCTTGAAATCATATACTCTGATGTATGTGGTCCTATCCAGGTGGATTTGACTGGAGGTAACAAATAATTTATTACATTCATAGATGATTTCAATAGAAAATTATGGACTTACCTGGTTAAGAAGAAAAGTGAAGTAATTGAGGTATTTGCCAAGTCTAAATCTATGGTTGAAAGACAAAATGGTCGAAAGCTCAAGATTTTGAGGACTAATGGTGGAGGAGAATATGTGTCGAAAGACTTCGACATGTTATGTGAGAAAGAAGGGATTGTGCGTGAGGTTGTTCCATCTTACACTCTACAACTAAATGGAACTGCATAAAGGAAGAACTGAACCATCATGAATATGGTGAAAAGAATGTTGAAAGGCAAACATTGAGGTGAAGTTGAGTCAAATGCAACATACATTTTGAACAGGTGTCTGACAAATAATCTAGAAGGAATTACACCAGAAGAATGTTATTCTGGTGTAAAAGATAACTTGAGTCATCCAAAATCATTTGGATTTATATCACATAGACATGTGCCAGATCAATTGAGAAGAAATCTTGATGACAAGTCGAGTCATATGATCCTAATAAGATATTATAACGCGGTGGGAGAACTAACTTGGAGGTTTTACGTTTGTTTGCAATTGTTTCAGATAGAAAGAGTCGCTACAGACTTTTCTTTTATCCAAAAGGAAAGGTTTAAAAGAACAGGAAAGACCTTTCAAGATTATTTCTTGAGTTCGGGGGGTATGTTATGAAAAGTGAAGGTATTAACACCTTTTTCATCCGTAGTTATCTACGGGCTCTTAGTTGCTTTCTAGATCACTTGCTTTTATTTTAAAATGTGCTTGTGGTGTGGGTTTTTAAAGTATTTTGAAAATGTATTTGTAATGGTTCACGTTTCTATAAGAATGCGTACAAAGTGTTAGTTTTGAAAATAGTTCAAATAGGTGTTTGTGGAATGTGTTTTTGAAAGTGATTTTGAAAAGGTGTCTTTGTAATGGTTCTCGTTTCTATAAGAACGCGTGCAAAAAGTTTTGTCTTTTGAAAATGTTTCAAATGAAAGTGTTGGTGTAAAAATGTTTTTGTTGTGAGCAAGCGAGCAACTAGGAGCAACCTACCTACTCAAAAGGTATTAAATATTATTTTCCTCCTCCTTTAGATGTTGCTATCTTACCATTGATTTGGTAAGAATCCTCATCATTGGATGTGAAGGGACGGGCGTGGGACGTTTGTATAGTCATAGAAGGCAACCTATGGGACGTTTTAGCAAAGTCGTTTAGGGACTAGATCGTTTACCGAAGGCAACATTGAGGGTCATCGAGGGACTACAATCTTTTATCGAGGGTCTTTTCTAAAATGCCCATATTCGAGGGACATGACTATTTTTTCGAGGCAACAAGTGAGATTACCCTAGGGGTGCATGTGTGAATAGTGTGTTTGAATTGCATGTATTTAGTCTTTGATTAGGGGTTGTCTACTTGTCGTTTTTATCTTATCACACATACCATATTTTACTAACAATCATACAAAAGTAATAAAATGCAGAAAGATAAAATCCTACACTATTACAACTATATTGAATAGCATAAAAATATAAAGGAAAAATAAAATAAAAGCAAGAAAATGGGGTCTTTCGATTTAGGCAGAAACACCCTTCGATTCTGCACTTTCTGGCTCTCTTTGATTTGGCCTGAAAGGGGTGAAGGCGTGACTTTCGATTGGGGCCTGGAGGCTAGTGTGTCGTGCCTTTCGACTGGGCCTGGAATCAGTGCAAGATGCAATCTACCTTTCTGCCTCCTTCGCCTGGGGGTTGAAAGTAGTGAGGGAGTATGTGATCGGTGGATCTGGAACTGACTGTTTAAAGCTGGTTCGCGAAATGTCGCGGAAGCAAGAGTCGCCACCGTCTTTTATTTTCTCCAAATGGAAAGGACAAAAGCACAGAAAAATTCCTTAAAGAGATTGCTCTCGGTTCGGGAGGTAGGTTATAGAAAGGGAAGGTGTTAGCACCCTTTCTATCCATGGTTATCCATGGGCTCTTAGATACTTGCTCATTTGTGTTTTCAAAATTGTTTGTTTGCTTTTCAAGTGTGGGTTTTAAAAAGTTTCTTTGAAATTTCCAGTTCGACTCTTGTATCGGTCCTCAAGAGTGTTTGAAAAATTGCTTTCGAAAGCTTTTTGAAAATGTGTTGGTGTGAAAAGTAATTTTGATTTGTTTTGAAATTAGAGCAAGTATCTACGAGAACCTACCTACCCTAAGGAATTCGTCTGTGTAAATGTCCTTTAAAGTAGTGCCATCCCACCATTGAGAGGTAGGTAGCACCACCGTTGGAGGTGTTCGGGTCAATTCGAGGTTCGGGACATGGTGATCACCAGA